AAAGGCAATCCGCTTTTGCATGCGCACTGAACGCACCCAGCCGGTGACCTTGACGTTGTCTCCTGGGGTGCCAGTATTTATCACGCTTTTGAGCGTTTCTGAGAGACCCAGTCCTGGCCTCTTGCTGCTGAATTTGCGCTGCACTGTCAGCACGTGGTAGGCCCGCGGCAGCCATAGCCGTGAATTCGAAGAGAGCATGCTTGAGGAGCTGTGCAAAAGAGGTTTTTTTTAAACAAAAAATATAAAATGCATATAAAGGCAAGCTTAAGCTTATCCGCTTCGCAGACCGCAAAGTGCCACATATGCGCTGATGATTATGGCGGCTGGCCCGAAATCGCTGGCGGGGATAATATCGCTTGATTCGATTTGCATCAATGAATCGCCAAATATTAAATAGCAAAAAACTTTTTTTTTTTTGGTCAATGTAAAAATATATTGTGCGAAAAAACCTTGATTTTCTTTATTTACTTGCTGTTCACACTTGTTCCTTTCCACTTGCTTGTCTTTTGTACTTTCGAACACTTTTATACTTTTTATTCATACAAAAGAATGCCTGATACCAACATTAAGGCCGCTGCCGCTATCGACAAGACCTCGTCAAAGGACAAGGCTGCCATGAAGGCCATGAAGAAGCAGGCAAAGAAGGAGAAGAAGGAGAAGCGGAAACACAGCAGCGACGATGCCGCAGACAAGGAGGACAGCAGCAAGGCCGAAGAGGCCGAGAAGGAGAAGCCGGCCAAGAAGAGCAAGTCGGACTCCAAGGACAAAAAGGATACTTCCCAGAAGCCTGTTGCTGCCTCCGCAGTCACCATTGAGCAGGCCAAGGAGTTTTACGAGAAGCACAACATCTCCGTCACTGGCGATGATTCCTTTATGCCGTTCTTAGACTTTAAGCAGGCTCCCTTTGGCCATGAGCTCATGAGTGCCTGCTCAAAGTTCTCCAAGCCCACGCCCATCCAGTCCGCCTGCTGGCCCGTGGTCACTGCTGCGCGCGACGTTATTGGCATTGCCGAGACCGGATCCGGAAAAACCTATGCGTTTGCGTTGCCAGCCATCCACTTTTTGAAGGAGAAGTACGGCCACCGCGCACAAAAGTGCGCCAAGCCCCTGGTCCTCGTTGTTTCGCCGACACGCGAGCTTGCCATGCAGACTCACGAGCAGTGCGTGGAGGCCGGAAGGGCTCTGAACATTACCTCCGTGTGCCTGTACGGTGGCGACTCCAAGCAAAAGCAGAACATGGAGCTGAGGAGCAAGAAGCCCGCGATCATTGTTGCCACGCCTGGCCGCTTGATTGACTTGGCCGAGAATGACAACGCCATTGATCTGTCCGAAGTTTCGTTTTTGGTTCTCGACGAGGCTGACCGCATGTTGGACCAGGGATTCGAGAAGGACATCAGCAACATCATCAGCATGCTCCGCCCCGCCGAAGCCCGCCAGACAGTCATGTTCAGCGCGACCTGGCCCAAGAGCGTGCGCACTCTTGCTAGCACCTTCTTGCGCAACCCCGTCCGCGTCTCTATTGGATCCGATGAGCTTGCTATTAACGAACGTGTCGACCAGATTGTCGAGGTCATGGATCGGCATCAGAAGGACCGCAGGCTGATTGAGCTGTTGCAAAAGCACCACAAATCGCGCAAGAACCGCGTCCTGGTGTTTGCGCTGTATAAGAAGGAGGCCAGCCGCATCGAGAGCATGCTGCAGGGCAAGGGCTACAACTGCGTTTCCATTCACGGCGATAAGGCGCAGCACCAGCGCACGGACGCCATTGAGCAGTTCCGCAGTGGCAGCATCCCCCTGCTCATTGCCACCGATGTCGCTGCTCGCGGCCTGGATGTCCCCGATGTCGAGTATGTCATCAACTACACGTTCCCCCTAACCATTGACGACTACACCCATCGTTGCGGACGCACAGCCCGTGCCGGCAAGAGAGGTGTCGCGTACACTTTCTTCACCGACCTCGACAAGGCGCACTCAGGCGAGCTGATCAACATGCTCAAAGGTGCCAACATGGCGGTCCCCGAAAATCTGCTCAAGTTTGGCACCACTGTCAAGAAGAAGCAGCACGACTCGTATGGCGCGTTCTTCAAGGATGTTGATACCAATGCCAAGCCTGTAAAGATCATTTTTGACTAATTTCTATTTAAAATTTTTGAAAATTATACTTTTTTATTCCGTTTGTATCAGCAAACATCCATTTAGTAAGAAGTCGAGGAATCGACCCACTTTAAGCCCACCCAAATACTGGCTGATCGGCTGATTGTATCTGGCAGCGCGCTCTCTCATGGTCAGCGGCAGAATCAGTTATAATTATTTGCCTGCCTAGACCCGATGGCACAGACAAGAAATACGCTTTCTTCATTTTGTATTTCCGTTTTATCCCGCCTGTTTGTTATTTTATCTTTCAACAGCAACAATGTTATTACGACCAAACTCAAGCTCACATACACAGCCCTTACTGGCCAGCGGCACTGGCAGCGGCAGAGACAGCAGTGACTCTGCAACCAGGGACGCGCCAGGATACGCGGCCATATTGGGCGAATACAACAGACAAGACCCCGGAAACTAAAATGCAAACGCGCGAAACCAGAGCAGCAGCACTGAGACATCCTTTCACATTGTGTGCATCACTGCAGGCATGGGAATACTTCAGCTGCCATATGCGCTCAAGCAGGGCGGCTGGGCCGGCGTTTTCTACATTATGTTGGCAGCTGCAATCTCAGCCTACAGTGGCGAAATCCTGATCAAGTACCTCTACACTATAAGAAATGAGGCTACAAATATGCTTCCAACCAACATCCTTCCCCCACAGTGTTTAGAAACTAGTAGCAATAGGCCACTATGGTTGACGATATTATCCAGTTCGCTGCTTCTTACAAAGAGAAGAAGCAGGGGCAAATGTATTATTGCGCACACGCTTAGGCTTGGGCTTTGGCTCTGGCTTGAGCGTCGCTGTAGACTCGGGTTCAGCCGACTCTGATGATGCCTTTTTGTGCAATAAATGGGGAGGCCGATTACCTGCAAACAGGGTATTAAGGATTATGCGAAAGTTTAGCACCGCAGCCATGTCGCGATTCCACTTCCGTCTGCCTGATGACACTTTTTCGCCATTTTAAGCCTGGTTCTGTCGGCCCTAAAGGTTTGCAGGCAGTCTTCCATTGTGCACTGGAGCAAGCTGTGGTATAAAATTTGGCGAGGTTTTTCTACCGCCAGAATTATATTAACGCCTGTTGCGGCTACCTCCTGCTGCTGCTTCTGCTGCGACAGAGTTGGATGAATATAATTACATCATTAAGCGTCACGTTTAACTCACAGCCAAAGCACCAGTCAGACACAAATCCTAAATACTTTCCCGCATCTTTAAAAATCTGGATTTTCTGATATTTTAGGCTAAAAAATTAGGAAACCTCTTTGATTTTTTAAAAACCTCCCGCTTAAAAAAACTATTTCGCTATAAATGTCTGGAAATTCCAAAATTCATTATCAATAATGTATTGCACGCCTGGGATGCAACTCAAATTGTACTCCGAGGTTACCAAGGCGGCCTTTGGCTGGGGTGGCCGCATGGTAGTGAGGATGCTCAAGGATTTTAACCTGTTGGGCGTCGTCGGGATATACATTGCGCTTGCGGAAATCAACAATCACTCGCTGGTGGCTGGCATGTTGATGGATCATCTGGGCGTGCAGTTTTGGATTGCGTTTTCAGCGCTCCTAGTGTGGGCGGTGATTTTCATGGCGTGCAAGGTGAATGACGTGTTTGTATTCAGCTTATTTGGCACGCTGACCACTGTGGCGACTGTCGTCATCATTGTGTGATTGGGCATTAGCGACATGGGGTACATGAATGCCAGACCGCCGACAAAGGCAATTGATCTCAAGCTGGCGCCCATTTCCCTGGCGTCTATCTGCTTCAGCTTTGGTGGCAACCTAAAGTGGCTCGCTCTCGAGGCATCTATAGGACTTCCCAAGCAGTGGACCAAGACGCTTTCGCTAGCCACATCCTTCATTGCTTTGATCTACCTTTGTGTCGCTGTAGTCAGCTACACCATGTACGGCGATCTGGCAAAGTCGCCCATTATTCCCAGCCTGCCACCCACAAAGCAGCGGCTCTGTCGCGTCGGCTTCTGCAGTCTGCCGATGCTGGTTTTGGTGTTCTGTGCTCTGTTTGTATCGGACATTTCTAAGGTCGTGCCTATTCTAGGTGCTGTCGCTGCGTCTATGGTTGGCTTTGTCACCCCTGTTGCCTGCCACGTGCGGCTCTACAAGGGAAGCATGGTTTTCTCGGTCTGGGAGTACATCTGGTGCGGGTTTATCACTGGCATCGGCACCTCGCAGGCGTTCTCCGATCTGTGACATGTCCTTTTTTCTGTCATTCTCTTTGGAATTTTTTTGCTTGTGCGCAAAAAGGGGGCAATCGGTCTGCCAGGTGCCACAGGGGACACTTGGCCAAAAGTGCATAAAAATGCACTTTTTTGGCTGTGTATACGTCAGTCGGATGCAGAAATTTTGGTCTGCCAATTTTTAATTCTTCAAGTGCTGGCTTTATTTTTTCTGAAGCGCTTACGTCTTCAACTAAAATGAAAAGGCAAGAGAAAAAAGCTGCTAGACCAGCCGCGCGCTTGCCATATTTTTCACTTCTATTTTTCCTTCTTTTTTTTGCTCGTGTACTAAATTCATTCAACCGCATTTAATTTCTTTATAATTTCTATTTTTCCAAAGCAAAGTTAAACAGCAGCAAAATGACGTCTATTGGTACAGGTGTACGTATTGTAGAAGCGGTTCAAAAATAAAACTTTGTGCGGCAGTCAGGAATTGACCTCCAAGTTCGCTAAGACAAAAGTTGCTAATTAGAAATCTTTCTTTTTCTATCCGTCGTGTCGCTATTGAATCTCGACTGCTATTTTGCTTTTCTTGTTTTGTAGTACGACTTGTCGGTCAGCACTTACTCGCCCGATGGGCGTGTTTTCCAGGTGGAGTATGCGGAAAAGGCGGTGGATAACAGCGGCACAGCCATCGGGCTCCGTGTCAAAGGCGGCGTGGTTCTGGCAGTTGAGAAGATTAAACACTCGCGTCTCTTGGTCCCGCACTCCAACCGGCGCATCATGACAGCCGGAAGACACATTGGCGTGGCCTCTGCCGGGTGGATGTCGGACACAAGACACTTGGTGAAGCGCACCCGCGACGAGGCCAGCCACTACCATGGCACATACAAGGCCAATATTCCAGCCAAGATCATTGCCGAGCGCATGGGTATGTATATCCAGGCGTACACTCTTTACTCGTCTGTCAGGCCCTTTGGCGTGAGCACTATTTTGGCCACGGTGGATGTTGACGGGCCGCAGCTCTATATGATTGAGCCTTCGGGTCAGTACATGGGTTACCGCGGGTGCGCTGCTGGAAAGGGTAAGCAGGCGGCCAAGACGGAGATTGAGAAGCTCGATCTGGATAATCTGTCTGTGCGCGATGCCCTGAAAGAGGCAGCGCGCATTATTTATGCCGTGCATGATGAGACGAAGGACAAGCTGTTTGAGCTCGAGCTTCGTGGGTTTGCGCCGAGTCCAATGGCCTGCACACCCATGTTCCGCAGGACGTGTTTGACGAGGCTGTCGAGTACGCGGAGAAGGCAAACGATGATGATGACGATGACGAGGAGATGGAGGACGACGATCTCTGAACAACTGCACCAGTCGAAGAAGGGACGGTTTGCAAACATTGGCCCAGAAATAAGTTGAATAGGTTTTTAAGTTGTTACGTTAATGTTGAGAAGCATTACACATTACACATATATCAACCATTGTGGCGCAGTCGCAACAGAAAATTCTTTAATTGCTAGTCAACCAATGATATTTTTTAGCTTTCATAAACAATAAATAGCAATTATATATTTAAAAATCGAGTCCAACACCGAGTTCAGGTGTTGGAACCGCGACATTGCATCGGGGTGCAATTTTATTTTGCTATTGTTGTATCGTCGCAAATTTGGTGAGTGTCACCCAGCTTACAACCACCATGGCAGACCGTCAATTGATCCAAATGCTGCGCCCAAACCAAGCGCTGCTCCCAAGTGCAACAAGACTAGATCATTTTTATCATTTTCCTTACATCAAGCCAGCTATTACTCTACCTGGCAGCTCAATCCCCATTGGGTAAAACCAGCGACTACGAAGTGGGTAGAGGACCTGGAAATAATTATTCTATAATTATACTTTTGGACAAACAGGTGCTTGAATTTCCTTGATCGATCGCCAAATTTGTTATCCCGTGATTCAATTTTGTTATCACTTTCTAGCTATTTTGAAAACGCATGAGCGAGCTACCTGTCTAAACGCTACAAGGCCTCACGCACCATAGATGAGATATAAAAAAGCACGAATTTGAGTTTTCTGTACTTTTTTCTTGCATTCAATTTCGCCAATCGGCAGCAGCACCAGCAGAGCTTTATTTAACTCTTCTCTTTTGTAAAAAATATCTACACTTTTTCTTAACAAATCCATACAATTAAATCAGTTTCACATTAGAGATGCCGATTCCATTTGAGAGTTTTATTCCGTTCGCGGTTATCGCGGGCATGTTTGTGGTTACAGGGACAGGAATTAGATACGCACAGACGAAGCGCAATGAGGGCAAGGCCGTGCGTTACAGCCTTGATGACTGGGATCGTAAGATGATGGTTCGCGACAAACAGCTCACAGGAACTTTCCGCGGTCAGGTGGATAACCCCATTGCGCCGCCAGAGTTCAAGGTCAACAGCTCTTGGAAGGTGTATGAATCACTGCGTAATGATTTTGCTTAGAGTGCGGGGATTGTATCTCTGAGTTAGCTTCATTATTGTTTTCGGATTTTTCACTTTCTTCCATATTATATACATACGATCATTTTCTTACATTGTTGAAGCGCGTATGCGTTTTCTAGATGATGCTGGATCTAGATTTGTATCTGGATCTGGAGCTGGCTTTCGAGTTGGGGTTGAGCGTGGGGAATGCAACTGAAGCGATTTGATTTGATTGATTAAAAAAGTAAGATTAGTATTACGCACACAAAAAAAGGATCGTCGACCCACACAAACAAAACAGCAAAAAAAATTTTGTTGCACCATTACTCCGGATAGACTCGTCACACGCCACTGTTGGATTCCTTTTCTTGCAACCATATTATAAATTCGTATTAATTTACCGAACGAAAAAACATTAGACAAACTCAGTCAATTTATTTTTTACATAACAAACCAACAAAAAATGGCTAGCGACAAGAAGGACCAGCTTATTGCTGCGCACGCTCTGTTTGTCAAGCTCGGTCTTGCGAAAACCGCCTCAGCCATGGTCAACGAGGCGGAGAAGACGGCAAAGAAGGACAAGACGATGCGTGCATTTATCGAGGCCGTGAAGAAGACGTAAGCTTATAAGAAAGACGGGAGTGTAAAACAATAAAGTGTGGTTTTTTATTTGAGAAGGTTGATAAAGATGCTAAATGTTTTATCTTAATTTTTCTTTTTCGTAGTGAAGAATCTTCGAGCTCTGAGGATTCTAGCGACTCTGACAGCGATTCCGACTCCAGCTCCTCCAGCGACTCCTCCAGCTCCTCCAGCTCCTCCAGCTCTTCTAGCTCTTCTAGCTCTTCTAGCTCGTCAGACTCTAGCGATTCTGATAGCGATTCGAGCTCTGAGGATGAGAAGGAAGCGACGAAGAAGGAAAGCTCTAGCTCTAGCTCGTCGTCCAGCGATTCAGACTCTAGCTCGTCGTCCAGCTCTGATGAAGAGGAGGAAGCTAAGAAGGAAAGCTCGAGTTCCAGCTCCTCCAGCTCTTCTAGCTCGTCAGACTCTAGCAATTCTGATAGCGATTCGAGCTCTGAGGATGAGAAGGAAGCGACGAAGAAGGAAAGCTCTAGCTCTAGCTCGTCGTCCAGTGATTCGGACTCTAGCTCGTCATCCAGCTCTGACGAAGAGGAGGAAGTTAAGAAGGAAAGCTCTAGCTCTAGCTCTTCGAGCTCATCCAGCTCTGATAGCTCTTCGAGCTCCAGCTCCGACAGCGATTCGGACTCTAGCTCCGACAGCGATTCGGACTCTAGCTCCGACAGCGATTCGGACTCTAGCTCTTCTTCGAGCTCTTCTTCGAGCTCTTCTTCAAGCTCTTCTTCAAGCTCGGATAGCGAGGAAGCGCCCAAGGGCAAGAAGAGATCGGCGCCGTCGTCTTCGTCTTCGTCCTCATCATCTTCGAGCTCTGATTCGAGCTCTTCTTCGGAGTCCGAAGCTGAGCCGACCAAGAAAAAGTCAAAGCGCAGCTAAAATGTTTCTCTTTTTCCATATTCTTTTTTTTTCTACAAACCAAATATAACTATTATATTTACGAGCTTTTTCTCCTCGACAATGTGCTGGGAGGCACCCAGGCAGCAACCTTTTCCTCCTCTTCCCTTTCCTCAGTCATTTCAGTATTCTCCGCGGCAGTGTTCTTCATCCACGCCTGGATCTGATCTTCCTTGGACATATTGGTAGCGCCGCGCCACGCGTCCCACCAAACAACATCCCTTAAAGTCGCATCCACCAGCGCCCTAGCATCCTCCACAACTGAATCACCACTCCCCGCTGCACCGTCCACACCCTTGCCACAGCGATCGCACCAGGTGCCGTACCAATCGCCTCTCGGATATATAATAGCGTTGGCCGCGTACTTATGCCCGCCAACATGCGAAGTCTCCCAAGCAGCAACATGCTTACCCACTCCGCGCTCCTCTATAACGCGGCGCACCTCGCGCAACAAAGCACCCCCATGTGTGCCACACAAGCGGTCGCGAGATCCGTGCGTGCAGACAAAAATATGCCTGTTCTTGGTCAATTCCAACCACGCATGGTCAAACGGCACACTCCCCTTGTCGGTCGACCACGAAGTGGGCAGTATAGTGTCGCGGGATAACCACTCCAGAAGCATCTCCGCACCCTTGGTGTCTAGCTGCTTGGCAACTATGCCCAGTGGGAACACGGCCACATCAATGCGATCATACTTGCCCTTATTATCCACCACCTTGGTGGCCGTAGGGGGGGTTGGGTTGCACGAGCACGAGCAAGGGGAAGGTGGACGGACTGGGGCGAAGTCAGACAGGGTTACCATTGCGCGTCCGGGCAGTCTGCCGCAGCCTCGGGCAAGGGTTGTTATTGGCTCGCTCATGGTCTCCACCCTGGAGGGCCATTCCGCAGATGACGAGTTGCAGACTACAAGATGCACCCGGTGCAGCGCCACGGTGCCGACGCGCGAGTCGGCCGTGGGCAGTGCGCCCAGGATGGTCGGGGTGGATCGGCCCGTGTGCAGCGACGCTGATGTTGTTGCTGTTAATGCCGAGCTGTGGGTCCGCGGAATCAAAGTGAGAGTAGTTGGTCTGAATAAAAACGACATGGTAAAAATAATACTCGTTGGATTGTTTTGGGGGTGGGTGTGTATAAAGTTGAGCACAGCAGAGCAGACAGATGACTAAAGGAAAGAAAAGAACGGGTCAGGAAAGCGGAGCGGACAAAATGGCTGATCGTCTGTCTGTGCAAGGGGTAGGTTTTTTTTTCTTTTTCATTTCGATAAGATGTAAAATCACGTGCTCCGTTCAAAAATCAGTGTCGGTGTTCCATTCACCAATCTCCTTGCGCAGCATCTCGGCCTCTCCAGCCATATCCTGCTGGCTCCTCGGCGTCCTCTCTTCATTGTCGATCCTATGCGTGTGCTCGAGCTTTTCATAAACGTCGTCGTTATCCGGAAAATCGCCCTCGTTTCTCGGGATAACGTGCAAATGCACATGCGGCACAGTCTGGCCTGCCTCCTTGCCGTCCTGGATGCACAGGGTGAGCGACTGGGCGTTAAACTGGCGGGTGATTGCGCGGGAGACGCGCTGGGCTTGGAGAAACAGATCGGCGACTTCATCGGGGGAGAGGTCGGAGAAACGCGGGTGTGGGAGGCGGGTGGCGAGAAGAACGTGGCCGGGGCGGATGGGCTTGAGGTTTACAAGCCCGTAGGTCAGCGGCGTGAGAAGGAATGTCTGCGAGAGCGGGATCGTGTGTGGACCGAACCACAGGGTCCGAAGTGCAGCTGTGGGGGAAGGGGGCATGGTAGAGCAGAATAATAAAACAAAATAATGTAATTTTTTATTTAATTTTTTTTTTACTATTGGAGCGAATAGAGGAGGAAAGAAAGAGTGCAGCGTGTGTAAATTTTGATTCTATTATAAATTGCATTTTCAAAAGCCTCGGTCGGGGGATCTTTCGCGATCTCTCCTCTGCTCGCGCACCCTTCCACACCCTCCACCACCGCGCTCCACATTTCCGCGTCTTATCGACCCACTCTCGACCACCGGGTCCTCAACAAACGCAAAGTCCACCGCCACCTGTTTCCCCAAAAGCGATTTCCCCGCGGCGCGCTGCACTGCAGCCAGGGCCTCTTTTTCCTCAGCATACTCCACTAGGGCGTAGCCCTTGACGAACCCAGTTTGGCGGTCGAGGTTGAGGTGGAGGTTGCGCACTTTGCCGTAGTCTGAGAAGAAGTCGCGGAGGTCTTCTTCGCACGCTTCCTCGTGCACGTTGGTTACAAGGAGAACCCAGCCTTCGACCGATTGCTGGGGATGAATGTCGATGCTGGTGGTTGTGGCCGTGGGCGTGGCCGTGGCCGTGGGCGTGGCGTCGGTTGAAGGGTTGGGCGCGCGGCCGGTAATCGATATTCCCATGTCAGCCATTGCAAAGCAGAAAGAAAGAAAGAAAAAAAGCTGGTAGAGCCACAGACGACATGAAAAAGCTGGTGGAATCACAGACGACACGAAAAAAAAAAGATTCAGCAAAACATAAAAGAAACTGCGCAAAATCAACTATGGCTCCTCACCCCCCCAAAGCGCATGCGCGCACCAGCCGTGACCACGCCCAGGACATCGACATATCCCCTGCCTTCCTCAAACCACCATCCCTGCTCCCTCAGCGCCTTGACCACAGACGGGTGCAAACAAGCCCTCCCGCCGACCGAGTGGTTCCCCAGCCCAGTGACAGCATGCAGTCTCCCGCACTTCCCCGCCGCATGCCACCTCTCGACCTCCTCCAGCACCACGGCCACAGCCTCCGCCCTGGTCAGCCCATGCAAATCCACGACGCCGGCATCCGCCCTGCGCATCTCCGCGACACTCGCCTGCGCCGCCCGCATGCGCCAGACCCGCGCACGCACATCCAGCCGATGCCCCTCGGTGGAGTAGTAGAGTGCGGTGCCGCCATGGTGCCGGAGCCCGTGGCGCCTGCCGTAGGCCGAGGCTGCCTTCGTGTAGAGCTCGTTGCGCCGCGCTAGAAGCTCCGAGGCGCGCTGCCGGCAGTACGCGGGATCCGCTCGGTGCTCGGATGCCCACTGGCGCGCGGCTCCCGAAAGAGCCAAAAGCGGCACGCGGTCGAACACGTCGTGCACTGCGGGGCGGTCCGCGGGTGCGTTGGTGGGCTGGACGCGGTGGCGGGAGAGCTCCGGCGCCCGGTGCCATTTGACACCGCCCCTCTTAGCCTCGGGCTTAGCCTCGGGCTTAGCCTCAGCCCCAGCCTCAGCCGTGGCCTTGGGCTCGTTGGAGATCTGGAAGACGCGGTCAATGGCTGCGTTGAAATCCGCAGTTTCCCTGGCCGCGCGCTCAAGAGCACCCTCGTCCACATCAGCAAACAGCTCGCGCAGCGTGGCCACGGTCTGCGCCACGGCAGCCTCGGAAATGCACTGTGTGCGGCCGGGGGCTGGCTTCGGCACCTGGGTGCGCTCCACGCGGTCCGCCAGTTCGCCGACGGCGCGGTCAATGCTGGCCCCGCAGCGATGGTATGCGGACCGCACTGTGCCCATGGACAGCATCGGGAATATCGCACACAGCGATTCGAGATCGCTGCCTATTGACTCCCACGCATTCCCGCGGCTCTCCGCCCCACAGCCAGCCGTGGATGGCATTGTTGTTTTTCGCTCCTCGCGAGTTTTGCCCTTCCCTTTGCGCTTGCCCTTTTGCGCACAAGGCACGGTGTATTGCGCCTCAATGGCATCCAAGGCTGTTTCCACTTTGCGATCTGCAATTGCTGCTGTTCCGCGCCTATACTCTTGGCCGTCCACAGCCGCCTGGTCATTGTAGAACGAGTTAGCGACCATGTCCAATGCCTCCACGGGATCCACCTTTTCTCCGCCCACATTTCTAAATATCTCGTCCACTTTGCTCAACAAGTAGTCGCGCCCGCACTCTGGGAAACAAGCTTCGAGGAAATCCACTAGCTCCTTGGGCGAGTCAATAGCCTCGATGGGCTCGCTCAGTGAAGAGGATGTTGTGGATGGATAGTTGGGATTATCGCTGTGGCTGCCGGTGGCCGTGGTATTGGTGGTGACAGTATCGCTGCTGTTGCTAGTGATGCTTCTTGGCGCCATGTGGGTGACTGTTGGCTGTTGGCCGCTGAGCATGCGGATGATGTTGTGGCATTTTGTCGGATCGTGTTGTTGCTCGGCCCAGATCGACGTTATTAGGTCGCCATCGACAAGGTGCCCGTATTCGGAGATAAGTGACTGGAGGCTGCTGGCCATTAAATGAGCGATTGATGCTTATGGTATTGGTGATGATGATGGCGATGATGGTGATGATGAAGCAGCCGTGTGCATTAACGTAAACAAAAACAGAATGGATGGATTAAATAGATATTGGATTGGATTTATGTACAGGGAGAAAAAGAAGAAAAAAAAAAAAAAAAAAAAAAAGAGGGGAGGAAAAGAGAGGGGAGGAAAATCAGACAAGGCCCAGCCTGTTGGTGGCTGATTTCCCTTTATCGTCCTAAAAAAATTTTGTTTGGGATGACGCCCACTATTTCGCTAAGCCTGCCCTGCCCTGCCTTTAATTATTTGCTATTTGTTGAACGCGTTTCGAATTTGGCCTCAATGTTCGGCCTCTCTCACATACACCCACCCTACCCTCCCTTCCTTTTTTTCCTACATCATCCAAAAGAAAAAAGAAAATTTTTTTCTCCATCATACCTCCAACCAACCAACCAACCAACCAAACCCAACCCCAAACCCTAAGAAAAATTACTTTTTCCCCCTCCTTTCTCTTGAAAATTACTTTTTATTTTTACATTTCTCAATCCTTTCGAAAATCAATTCAATCATGGGCAAACGCTCCGCCGATAGGCAACTCACACAGCTCAACCAATACGACGGCGACACCGACGCTGAAAACAACAGCGATGTTGGTGAGGGCACCTTCCATATGGCCGACAAGGAAGTTCTCTCTACGCGTCAGATCAAAATGCCCAAATCCCGCTTCCGCAATGCCGAACCTAACGCTGCCGCTGCTTCTGTATTTTCACAAAAACCTACTGCCGGAGCAGCTGCTGCTCAAAATCCTTCCTTCTCTCTGTCATCCTCCTCCTCCTCAACTGCCGCCGCTGCTGGTGCTAGCGCTACTGCTTCTGGCGAGGGTGATGGCGGAAAGCCTGCGTTGTTTAAAGGATTTAGTTTTGGAAGCCAACAGCCAGCAGCAGCAGCACCTGAAGCTAAGGGTGGTTTCACCATGACTTCGTTTAAGCCACCCGCCTCTGGCACCTCCGCCACCTCCGGAACCGCTGGGTTTTCTGTTCCCGCAGGATTGCCCTTTGCCAGCACCACTACTGCTTCCAGGGATGCATCCTTTTCCAAGGGTTTTGTTCCCCCATCTGCGCCGCTGTCGTACGCGGACAAGGTTTCGTCAGAGGCTTTTTATAAGAGCATCCGTGGGTTGAATGTCTCTTTGGTCAAGAAGGTCGGAGATGCTGTGAAGGCCAATGCATTTGTTGATTTGACCCCGCTTTTGGAGCAGTATGCAGAGCATTGGAGGAAGATTAATCAGGGAACGGCTGTTGTTGCGGCTGCGGATGGAACGAAGAAGGCTGAGGAGAAGCAGGGTATGGATGTGGATGCCCTAAAGGGGAAGCCCGTGACGGAGAAGCCCGTGGTGGAGGATAAGCCGGTGGAGGCGAAGGTGCCGGCGACGACTGGGTTTAACTTTGGAACCAAGCCGTTTGCCCCCGCAGCTGCTGCTGAGAAGCCGGCGACGACAGGGTTCAACTTTGGTAAAGCTGTCTCTCCCTCATCCACCGAGAAGCCAGTGAGCACTGGGTTCAACTTTGGCAAAGCTGTCTCTCCCTCGTCCAATGCCAACACAACCACCTCGGGCACCTCCGGGTTCTCGTTCAGCTTTGGAAAGCCCGCCGGAGGCCAGTCTGAGGCTTCCCCGAGCAAGAGTGCCGAAAAGAAGCCGTTCTCATTTGAATTTACCAAGCCCGCCGAGCCATCGACCACAGGCAAGCCGTCTTTCTCCTTTGGACTTAACACGAGCACGTCCAGCACTACTACCACTGATGCCGCTGATGCCGCTGCCGCCGCCGCTGCTACTTCCAAGGTCGAGGATAGCGACGGGGACGATGATCAGGCGGATGAGCCCAAGAAGGAGCCCAGCACAGCAGGCGAAGAGGGCGAGACAACCGAGCACCTAGTGCGGAGCAAACTTTACCAGTGGGACTCTGAGACCAAGCAGTACAAGGATCTGGGGATCAACAACTTTAAGATTAACTCATCTATAGTGACTGATTCGGGAGCAAAGCGTGCGAGAATCTTGTGTCGTCAGGATGGATCTGATCGCGTTACGCTGAATGCGTCGATCTTTAAGGATATGAATGTGGAGATGAATGAGGGCAAAAAGGACGTGGGGTTGATGGTTTTTGTTGATGGGAAACCGTGTCGCTTTTTGGTGAGAGTCAGGAATGCGGAGTTTGCAAAGGCGCTCTATGAGGCGTTGGAGAAGGTCAGGAAGGAAATTTAAACGTTATGTGTTTATTTTTGAATTTTAATATCTATATTTTGAAATAACTTGTGCAATTTTTGTCGAGTTTAATTAAAATAATTTTTGCACATGGTGGTTTTGCATTGCGAGACTTGCGGTCTATGATTAAGAGCTCGAGATCGCGGCCTTTACAATTGGCTTTTGCAATTAATTGTATACGCTGTCTCACAAAGGACAGCAGCTCGCGATAAAACACTTGATATATACAATTCAGTTTACCCTTTGTGCAAAATTGTAATTGTCTTTTGTTTGCGAGTTTTATTACAACAGCATGCCTGTCGCAGTTGAGGCACATGGTGTTGCATATTGCCTTACTGAGATTAATTGATTACGCGCGTCGCAATCAGAGCAATGATGATAAGTTTTTATTATAGTTTATTTATGTCATAAGGAGAGCATATAAAAAGAGCGGTTGTCAGGCAGCCAGGAATTGCTCTCTCTTTGGAAGCAATGAATGTCCTCTTTAATTATACACTGTTGTAATATGCTGATGCTGGAGTGAGTGAGAGCATGCTAAGGCAATGTTTTCTTCATAGCTGTGTGTGTGTGTGTGTGCATGCGCAGCATAATAGTTTTTTTTGTTGGTTTCATGTTGGAAAATAAGATGTTCTATGAGCGTGTAGATAAACCATAATGATATAAAGTATATTTAATAAATAAGTGCTACGTGTTATGTTAAAAATATATATTTGAACTGAATGAACTAAAAGAAAGCTAAAGGATGAACAGCGTCCACTGTTCATATTCATTAGTATTTATATGTGCATATGAATTCCCGTATGTCCAAGTAT